AAATTATATAAAAATATAAAATTTATCTATTTAATATCAAACGATTACTAAATAGATAAAGAAAAAATGTTTACAATTTTATTCTGAAAGTCTAACAGAAGAATCTTTACTATTTTTAATTTAGTTAGATATTCAAATATTAAGAAATCTCTCAAAAAGTTTTTATTAAGTTGAAATATAAACCACTGGTATTAGATTTTATTAAACTTTATTTTTAAACTTTCGCATTATATACTACACCTATAATCAGGTATGTAAGTATCTTAATTAATACTCGATTGTGAATTTACAATTTTGATAATGTCAAAAAAATAAAAGATATCCTTTAATTCGAATTTTATTAGAATTAGGGCATAATATTTGGAACGGAATATCTTAAAAATGCATTTCGCTTGGTCATATTAGTGATAACTATGTAAGTTGCCCTAGCAAACTCTCACTTAGGAAATATCAAGTCAGTGTCTAGTTTCCCGGTGATTTCGTATTTTATGCTACTCAGTTAATTAAGAAAAAAAAATAAAAAAAAAAGTTAATGATTATAAAGCCTATATTATTATTAGGTTTTATTGTGTTTCTATTTCTTATTTACCCATTATTAGTAAATAGTTTATGAAGAAATGCTAAAAGTACATAAATACTAGTTTGTACCCGCAACTTTGTCGGTGTGACTATTATATATAGATTAATAAAATAAAAAGTAAGCTATGTCCTTCACAATCCCAAACGCTATATGTATTATATATATACTATGAAGACTAGTTGAGCTGTCAATGCATGAAAAGGTAACAAATAAACGAAAAAACAAACAAATTTTAGCTTTTATAATATTAGTAAGGATAATATTTGTACATTGGTCTCCTAGTTGTAGTGGGTCTTTCATACATGTTAATATAATAAAATGAAACACTCAGTTTATGTTCTTTTAAAAAAATCTCTATTATAAATATATATAATTTATATACACTTTGTATATAAATTATATATATTTATAATATATATTTGTTAAAATTATCATTGTAAAATTGTTAACAATTTCTCTATCTATTTACTTTTACATCTTATTTTGAGAGTGATGTCATTAAATTATAGTCATTACGTTTAACATTATCAACATTCTATCTGTAGACAGAGTTGACGTTTTAAACCCGGGTTCACATGAACTGATCAAAATGAAAGTATTTTGTATCGAGTCGATTAGAAAATTTTAGAATATTTTATTATTACGAGTAGAAAACCATAAATATCCATTAATATTGATATTTAGCATAAAAATTCTGGTTATGGTCTAGAGTTATTTTCTTTTCTTTCTTTGTGATTGGATTTATTACGAGTAGCTATGTGAATAAAGTCTATAGTTCATGTTTCGCTTCTTTTTAACATAATGTAACTATTACTTTTAAAAAAAATATGTGAGAATTTATGATTAAGATTTTGTTAAAAAACCTGAATTGTGACAAACATATGTATATATATATATATATATATATATACATATGTCTTGTCATATATATATATATATATATATATATATATATATATATATATATATATATATATATATATATATATATATATATATATATATATATATATATATATATATATAATGATTATAAAAAGAAATAGCGAATTTGACAAGGAGTTGTGCATGAATCGATCTCACGTACCGAGAGTTCCGTACGAATTATAATTGAAAAAAAAAATATTGCAAAAAAAATTGTGTGGTAACTACTAATTGACGGTTTTCAGATAATTTTGCTATACAACATTACTTATTGCTAAATTTTATGATTTTAAATTGTAAATTGTGTTTGCAAATCTCAAAATATATGTTATAAATGGTTGATTTGGAATTTTGATTTTTTCCCAGCTTCAAGGGATTGCAAATTTGAGTATTTGATATTATTTTATTAAAGTAGGTGGTTATTTTGCGGAAGTCCATACCATATGTATTAGTATATATTAGCCGGAGATTCATAACTTATATGGAAGGTTGATCAGTCAATCACTGAGAATATTTAAGAGCAGATTAAAACAGCATCTTCTGTCCTCATAAACTTATTATGTCTATGTATGTATATGTACGTATTTTGTATGTGAAGAGATATTTTATGTATATGTATTATTATATACAGATATGGATGTATTTTGATTTTAATCATATGAGTTACTTTGTATATATGTCAACATATTTATTATTTCTTAATAGAAACAACTATACTGTTTCCTCCTTTTATTGTACGCACACTTCCCGTTGGTAATTAATGCTCCTTTCCACTCACGGTTTGCTGGTTTGCTGGAATCTACAGAGTTAAGCTCGCCTGTTGTACTTCTTTTTTTAATGTGTGTAATTTTTTGTGTACAATAAAGTATAAAGAAATAAATAAAGGTAGTAAACTATTTACTACTAATAATAGCAGTCAATCTTCAAAATTTGGCAGTCGCATGCATACTAATTTTAGTGGAATTAAACAAAATAATTCTATTCGCCTAACTAGTTTTGATATTAATTTCAGCTCGATATCTCCACGCGTTCCTGAGAAAAAGGGTCTTGACAGACTGATAAAAAATTGATCCCATAAGAGTTCCGTTTTTCTTTTTATATATAGAATGTATAGAACTCTCAAAAGTTATTATTTTGTCTATGGTAATTCCTACAAAAAAAAACTGAATTTCCTGTCCTCTGAAGTTGTTTGAAAGCGTTACGTTACGAGTGACGAAATTGTCATAACGATAAAATATCTCTCGCGTGCGTGTTGGCTTTAATTCTTTTAAAATACTTTAGGTATAAATTATATACTGTTATATTGCACATTATGGTTGAGGTAGAAACAAAGATTACGTTTCAACTCTCACTATCGTGACTGGTAAAAGTGAATGGGCCGGGAATTAAAGCACAAACTCTCTATGAGGATCCACCAGACGTTAGCTACTAGATTTATGCGCGTTCTCTATAAAGTTTTCAAAAATTTCTATTATCTTCATTAAAAAAACTTTTTCAGTTTTATAAATACTCCGACTAGATTTTAGTTTGGTGTATTCGTTACGCCTAACTCTTTGTGCCTACTATTTATTATCTTTGCTTATTTCTATTGTATTTCAGTTTGAAGAAAGACTAAGATATTTGATAGGAAACATATTAGTCTTCAAAAATAGTAAAGTACAAGGGGAATAATTAACGATATGTGATATCAGCCGTTAACTGTCCTCTGTTTAACATAGGTCTCACCCTATTGGGGGTTTTGCTAGTAGTTGTTACGCTTGGTAAGCGGGCTGGAAACTGCAGTTAGGTTTTGGTGATATTCTAAGAGAGACGCTGCTGTCCTGATGGGAAAGGAAGGGGTAGCCCTTTCTGTGCCGAGATCACGCCGTATTTAACGATAATAATTAATAATAATAATAGCTACCACTCAATCACAAATTTCGCCTGACTATGAATACCCTGTACTATGAGGCATCAGACAATGAATATCCGGGGGCATAACCCAGATCACCGAGATCTAAGAAAATTTAGATAAGTACGTTTACTGAATTGGTCCGACTGAGAATCGAACCCGAGATCTTATTAAGGAAAGCAACCAACGTGCCTAGGACCAGAAGATTAATATTAGTAAGGGAATCTAATAGCTCCATTGCTAGTATTCTCTCAGATCTACCTCCACGCGGTTCTCTCTGGGTAGCATAGTGGTTAATTGTTATGGAATTCGATTCGATGGGCTGTCCTGCTTTCATCTTCATCTATCATCCCTCACTGGTAGCCCATCAGTGTATACCAATAGCACAGATGTGTACATTTTTTTGAATGGATGATAATGAAATCCTAATCCCGCCTGCACCAACGGTATACTTTGGCGGGGCACCAGTGAGGGATGATAGGTGAGAATGGAAAAACAAGTTAGTTAGTGATGAATTTACCAGGAATTCAGCATGATGGTTTCCAGGAGGACCACGTAGAGGTTAGCGTTTATTACTAGCAGTGGGACTGGTAGTTCATATTGCTAAAAATCCGTTTCCCCCATTGTGCTATTACATTATCACCTATTAAAAAAAAAAAAAACAACATATGTACTGCTGCATCATGATAGTAGTGATGTCATTTATCTCGTTTAAGTTTCTATGGGCTTTCTTTCCGATAACAACAAATGTATCAACTAGTAACACGATATGGTACCCACGTTTTTCGTTAGACTCTTTTTTCGTTGATGAGAATGTTATTGATGTCGCAGTCATATTGGATGTCTCCTGTAGATGTAGGTTAGTAGATCATGTAATGTAACATGTCTTTTTCGTGTTCCCCAAATATTGCTAACTTTGTAAGGCACAATAGCATAACATTAGTTAAAAATATTACATGGACGCATATTTCTTGTATTACATTATAACCTATAATAATTTTGATGCATAAATAATTATAATTCTGTGATAAGACCTGATTTATTATTTTTAAATTTACATTGATGATAATAATATGATGTATTTCATGACAATCATATTTCATCCGGAAATCATCTTCAGAAAGCGTACGGCAGTTTGCCTCACAGTGTCTCGCTTCGCACAGAGACAAAAAAATTTCACTGACGTAAAGAGACACGTCTCTAAAAAAGATATCTGGATAAAATCCAATCAATTGTCGGAAACAATAAACAAAGTGAGAATAATCTCGTTGTGCATATACACATCATTAAAAAATAAATATAAATTTTAAAAATAATTTAATTACAACTGGTTAAATAGTTAAGAAGATAAGAAGTAACAAACAAGCAAACCTACGTAATAATAATAATGATTATAATATTTGAAGACATAAATGGATAAAGTTGATATGTCGCATATTTTGGATAGAGGTAACATAACATATACTTACTCTAGGTTACTATATACTTATAGTTGTTAGTATGTTTATAATAGAGAAAATCTGAAAATGCGACATATCACTATGCATTCATATCTTCATTTATTTAACTGAATGGAAACATGAAATAGTAAAATTTATTTTCCAGGTGGTTATTCAGTTGAACACGTGGATAAAGTATGTTTATCTCTTCGAGAGCAATATGGCAACTGTGTGAAGATGGCGGGACTGCTGGGAAGACCTGATATGCTGTTCGTTTTCGACGCCTGGGAAGTCGAGAGGGTCTTCAGAGGAGAGGACGTGGCACCACACAGGTATGTTCACCTTATAATATTGTTATATATTTTTTTATTAATAGTTAGCCGATCCGACTGGTATTGTTCTGTTACTAGCTATTGGACTATGGCAGTCCCTCATAACTAGGAATTATTTGAAAGAAAAAAAGAAAAATGGGTTTTTATATTTTACTGCGCAATTTTTAATTTAAAATGTTTTTTTCTTTATAAGAATTCTCTTCCTCAATTTTCAGCGAATATTAAAAAAAAAATTCCGAAACAATCCAGTCGTTTTCGAGTTTTGCGCTTAGCAAAACATTTAGTGACTCATTTTTATTTATATTCGGCAACTTTCATATTTTTATACTTGATTTCATAAAAGGTGACATAGTACTGTAACCTGTCAGTAATATCCACGGTGTTGTTCATGTTTATGTCATACTAATCTTTGAAGTCATATCACTTTCCATCAAGTGGCCCGTCAGCTTGTTTTTTATTTCATTAAAGTTTTAATTAACATTTCTATCTAAAGTTGACAACATCTGCTGTGCACTGGTAGATTGCGGTCTATGGTCCATCAATCAATATTTACAACAAAACATCCAATAAAAGCCTGATAAAAGGGCTGAGTGAATATCACGTAATTTTTTATACGATTAATATATTTCGATACATACAAAATTGCGTTTTATGCATTGTAATTACAGTTTTGTGACGTCGGAGCTATTAATTATTTTTATTTATTAACTCTTTAATCGGGTTTCTTTTTAATAGTTCGACGTAAGTAATTTATGAATGAATAAATGAATTAATGAATAAATTTTATTGTTAAAATGTAGTACAATGAGGCGATATGGTAATATTATAATTGGGATGTTTATTTTGACTTCTTGTTGTGAGTACGTTGAATTTTACTACTTACCACAGTAGCTTATTGCTTATGTAGCAGGTATATTATGTAATGAAAATGCATAATAATAAGAATATTTTTCTATTCAAGTAAACTTCAATTGTGGTATAAAAACAAATAAAGTTGCCTTAACTTTATTGTGTCTATGTTTATTATTTAAGATATAGCGCTCTCATGAAACATTGATCCATTACATTTGCAACGTCTACACTTACTTTTTACTTTGATTTATAATTATTAAACTATCTAACTTTTAGCTTTACAAATTTTTGTAAATAATTCAGTTACGAAAATAAAAATTGGGCATTGTTGTGTACTACCATTATGATTTGTCTGTAAACTTATAGCAAGATTTAACAGTAATATATTGTGTTAATTTTTTACATACCTTTCCAGGCCTTCAATGCCGTCGTTAAATTACTACAAGCATACATTGAGACGGGACTTTTTTGGTGCCGAAGATAATTGCGCCGGAGTTATCGCTGTGTAAGTGCTTCCTTTAATAATTAAGAATACAATTGTTTATTGGAAAATAATTGTTGTACGTATCTTTGTTTGCTGTAAGTGAAACGTGTAGATCTTGTGTGTTATAGTTTCAAATATATATATATAATATATTTATATATTAATAATAATATATTTATAATGTTATATCATCATCATCATTTCAACCATTATCCGTCCAATGCTAGACATAGGCCTCCACCATAGACTACCATAATGTTATATATAGTCGAATAAATATTTACTTTATTTAAATCTACCAGTTAGCTAAGATAAGTCTTAATAGGTAAATAAGAACACAGAACTACAGATTATAGGTATTTTTTATAATTATATCTATTATATGCGATATCTATTATAAATTTTAATAATATTTTTTAAACACGTTAGGGTTTATTCCCTTGTAATTTCCGTATAAATGTTGTCACTTTCAGGACCGAAGTCGTTGTTTCATTTTGGTAAAATAAAATTTTAAATGATTTATTTACTAGATATCACTATAATATCTTTTTTAAAACTCCATTTGTATGTGCGAAAAATAGTAATTTTTAAGTATTTTATAATATTTTATTTTTTAAGAAGGTAATTATATTTTTCAGTCACGGAGAAGCATGGTCTGCATTCAGAACCAAAGTATCAAAAGTGGCACTGAGCGCAGGCGCGGCCGCTGAGTATACTGTACCCGTGGCTCAAGTAGCCGACGCATTTGTTAATAGGTAAGATATACCTTCTTTAAATACACATATAACACTATTATAATCATCTTTACCTCAGGGATTATCTGTCCACTGTTGAACATATGTCTTCTTCATAGATTTCCATAGAAAACGGAATTGTTGTTTATTTGTTAAATTTTGACTTTGTAACGGCATAACTGATTGCCATGAGATGAAGAGTGGCAAGGCAACTTTTTATTTTGATCCTCAATATTTATTGTTTCCGTCATGCGGACAAAGTCACGGGTGCAGCTAATACTTATTTCTAAGGATATGTTATAATGCCAACAGTACACCTGCAATGACTTTACATTTTTGCAATTACCAGGGGAGACTTTGTACAAAAGTCGATTGCTTGCAGATTTTTCCCATTCGTGTTTCAACCGTGAAGCAGTTGTGTTTGCATGGCTGTGTTTCGGTTTGAAGGGTGGGATATGGCGTGAATTTACTGGGTACAGGGGAATAACACCTGAGTCCTCAGGAATGGCAACACATGGGGGGTATCATGGGCGAAACAGTATACTATTATGTCCATTTGCTCATGTCTATAGGCGACGCATTCCACTTTCCATCAGGTGGGCCGTCACTTGTTTGCCATTCTAAGTTGTACTAAAAAAAATGCCTTTGGTATTGTGGGTGATCATGGCCGGCGGTAGTCACTTACCTCACGTAAGTCGCATGCTCGTTTGCCTTAGCCCAAAGTTTTTTCTTACTTTTTTTTTATAAAAATAATATAAAAAAATACTGTAAACAGCGATTTTGCTATATCTAATTTTTATTTCTCTTTGTGGTATAAGTTTGTTTAATTTTTTTTTTTTTTATAATTCGTAATGGCTTGCAATGGCTAAACTATTTTGTTTGTTATTTTATTATACACCGTATCTCTCTACACGCTGACTTCAATGCGCCTTTACATTTTGAATTTGTTGGAAGTGAACTCTCGCAGTGTCAAGCTTGTCTCTGTACATTTGCTTCTCACTGTCATATTTTTGTATGTATTATTAGTGTACACAATAAAAAAAGGAATAAATAAAATTATATATATATATATATATATATATATATATATATATATATATATATATATATATATATATATATATATATATATATATATATATATATATATATATATATATATATATAATAAAATAACGATTTTGATAAAAATACTATTCTTTTTCAGAATACGTAAAATTAGAAATGAGAAGCAAGAGACACCAGATGACTTTTTGAATGAAGTTCATAAATGGTCTTTGGAATGTAAGTTAATATTTTTTTCTTAAGAATGGCAAACCATGATGAGTATGTAGCAGTATCATGGGAGTCACTGTATATTCAATTATGTCTATGGTACTCTTAATGTCTATAGGTTACTACTTTACATCAGGCGGGCAGACAGTTTTACTATTCTAAGTTGCATAAGAAAATATTGCAATATTTCATATCTATATTAACTTGAAACATAGTATATTTTATATACTGATTCAGGTGGGCAGAACCGTGGTAATTAGCAAGTAATTATTATTTCCTTTCCTCACAGCTCTAGGTCTAGTCGCACTGGACACTCGGCTGGGTTGTTTCGAAGCCAGCGAAGGTTCAGAGAGTCAACGTTTGATTGACGCGGTCAACACTTTTTTCCTCTGCGTGGGTGAATTAGAATTGCGAGCTCCGTGGTGGAGAATTTATCCGACGGCAATGTTTAAAAGATACGTAGCTGCACTTGATACCATCCTCAGGTAAGTATGTAGAATGCCAATATTATTCCTATATAAAACACAAGTAATAAAAAAAATTCTTAAAAGAATATATGTTATATTATTAATTTTATATATTGAAAATTATTATATTGTAGCCGAGAGCATTCAAATGGCGGTGTACAAAAAAATCTTTCTTCTGATAAATTGGCGGTATATGCATAAGACAGAGAAACAACCGACTAATTACGTATCGTTAGTCGCTTGAGCTTATAGCAATTTATTGATAATCTATAATTTTTGTCTATATATACTTTTTATACTTAAGTACTATAAATATTGATAACAACATTAAAATAACTGACACCTTATTAAATAGCCTTCAATAAACAAAGCACGAGGTTGTCTTAATTTTTATTGGTATTATTCATTATTCCTATAACTTATTAATCAAATTACCTGTATGGCTACTTCTATCCCCTATCTATCATTTTGTGTATTTCGGCTTAGAGAGTGTGATAAGGCACACGGCTGTGATATATTATCAGATAGGATATGAAGGCATAACATTTTAATTAACAGGAATGACGTTGTATGAAGTGGCTATTTTATATGAGCATTATGGTGTATTTCGTGATGTTCACAATATTATTTATGTCCTTAAACGATAGTTAGCACTATCGTTTGATGATCGGATGAAATGTCTAAGATGTTTAAATTATATAAAAAGAGCATCAAGTGCATCATAGATAGATAGATACTCTTTATTGTTTCCTTTAAAAGATTACAATAGTAAACTAATATTATAGACACAAATATTTACGAGAAATCATCATAGTGAAAAAACAATGGGCGACTTTACGAGTATCCCTAAAAACGTTCCCTTCGAGGCAACTTTTGGGTAGAAAGGAGTAATTATAAACAATTATCTAGTAGTTAGAATTACCTAATATAAATTTGCAGTGTAACTCTAAACCACGTGGAGAGGGCGCTGGAGGAGACCCGTAAAGCAAACAGTAGCAAGTCACTGCTACAAGACTTGGTGGCTGCAGCAGGAGCCAGGGTCGCCGCTGTCGCCGCTCTAGACATGTTCCTTGTGGGAATTGATACGGTATTTTGATTTAATTTGACTAAATGAGAATATGGTATACAAAATACGAACTATACAATTAGTCAATACTTATCTATTACTGACAAAATGTAAAGTGCCACACACAAACCCGAGAGGAATAATTGGTACTAAAACATTTATGATTTTTATATGTATTTACATAATAATAAAATAAAAAAAAAGACACGGATGCTACTATAGTATACAGTTAGATATAACGAATTTTAACATGTACTTTATAACTGTATTATTTATTCCTGTTTGCTAATTATATTGATGTATAATACATTGCTTTACTATCTTATGTTTATGAGTTCGATTCCTATGGATCTATTTGAAACGAGGCGATTGTATTCATGAGTAGAGTATGTTTGTATAAGTCTTAGTGTTCTCTAGGTAATACATATATATTTAATAATATATATGTATTACCAGTAGTATGTAGTATTATTAAATATGTTTGCGATATTAACAAGTTAGTTGTAGACATTTTTTTTAATCGCTGAAAATGGTATGGTAACTCCGCCTGTGCTGGTTTACCCTGGTCTTCCACGCGATTACCTTGGAAACCATCATAGTTTTCAAGGAGACTGCGTGGAAGTCGACCCAACAGATTATAGTGCTAGTAATGGGCTTATTAGACCTCATTACTAACATTGGAGTCGATTCTAAGCTGTCATTTCTCTAAACTTGATTCTAAGATTGAAATTTTTATTTGATATCACAATGAAATTTTTATTTTAACGAATAATATATATATAACTAGCTGGCTCGGTAAACGTTGTTTTATCATATACATTATTTTGAGAACTATGCATGATAATTTCTTGTACTACAATTGTTATATTCGATTGCCACCTTGCAACCCAATTGCGGCATATAAAAATCGCGATCAAAAAACAGGGCTTGATTAGCAAAGCATGAAATTTTGAATTTGTATATATTTTTCAATGCTAAATCCTATTAAAATAAAACTAAAAAATTTTGTCAAAAAAATAAAAAAAAAATTTTAATGGTGGGTTACCCTTATCATTGAGGGGTATAAAAAATAGATGTTGGCCGATTCTCAGACCTACCGAATATGCTCACAAAATTTCATGAAAATCGGTAAAGCCGTTTTGGAGGAGTTTGGTAACAAAACACGAGAATTTTATATATTAGATAAAGAACTGAAATTGTAATATAATAAAGTAAAAATATTTATAAGTTTTGTTCATAATGGTTCGTAAAATACTACTTTCTCAGAATTATCAAATTATATTATTAATGTTAAAGATAGATTTAGAGATAGGTGACTCAGAATTGACCCTAATTCTTTCTACACAGGTATTTGTTGCCTGTTGCTATTTTGGCAAAAATAATACTCGACATGCCTACGTCGAATTTATTAGAGTTCAACGTGATAGGATGAATTAAACGCCTGCTAAAATTAACTAGCAAAATATTCAATATGAAAGAAATACTAACCTTTACAGACGTCAAATGCCGTAGCGTCGACGTTGTACCAGCTGTCTTTAAGGCCGAATGTCCAAGAAAAACTTTACAAAGAGATCACCGGGGTCCTGCAGGGGAGACCTATGAAGCCTGGTGATGTTAACCAAATGCCATATTTAAGAGCCTGTATTAAGGAGGTTTTAAGGTAATCTACCTCAAATTATTTTTAATTGAGTTTTTAATATTTGTCGTGTTATCAATCGTCGTGTTAAAATTAGAAGAATTTGCAATTAATATCTATGTTATACACATAACTATATATTTATAATAAAGCTAGCTAGTTATCATTAAGTGATGGCCCGCCTAATTGAAACGGGTAACATAAAAAAAAATATATAATGTGATGTCTATGGTATTCTTCATGTGTTGCTATTTCTGAGGTTTATGGTGTTATGCCCCTCTTTGCAATTTTACTGCTAGATTTTTCAAATCGAAATACAGCCGTGCTAGGACAGGTGCTTGGCAGTAAAAACACGAGTGGGACAGCTATGTAGGCGATTTTTATACTAAGTATTTCTGTAGTATTTATTTTTTTATTAAAGCATTAAATTAAGTCTTTATTGGTAAAAACTAAATGTTGCCCCAAAAGTGTTGCCTATATAACAGTTGTAAAATTGTGTTCCAGGATGTATCCAGTTGTGATCGGCAATGGCAGACAGTTAACGAAGGACACAGTTATTTGTGGTTATAACATACCAAAGGGTGTAAGTATTAATTACACCATCGTCATCATATCAGCCATCAACTGTTTACTGCTGAACATCTGCTTCTCCAATAAGGGGGAGTTGGGGGGGGGGGGGGGAAGATTTGTCAGTAGTTGCTACATTCTATATTTGTATTATTACGCGTTATAAATTCAAATATTTTACATAGATTCGAAATACGAGCATATCCATTAAAATTTTCATGTTTTACCATGATTGAAATCAAACCTACTGTTAAAGCATTAACAATTTATTCACTCCTGCGTATAATGAAGCGGTTACAGCGGTAAAACCAATGGACGACTGCTAAGTTAAAAATAGATAATCACGCACAACATCAACCAGTCACAAGAGCCGCTCATCACGACATCGCGAGAACGCCAATCATAACGCAGGAGAAATTTACATGACCTTTCAGGTTTTCAAAATTGTAACTGACTCGCAAAACAAAACTTCAACGCATAACATCAAATATATATTACATCAACGCTTCAAATTATTATTTATTTTATTTACCCTAGTGCCATAAATCGCTTCAAATACTAGGTGTATTTATTCATCATCATCATCATCATATCATCTGTTCATCATCAAAACGCAAGCGCACATCATTAACATAATTTTTGGACCTTCGTTCCGGGATCTTCAGAAACCAGAGCATATTTTGGACCTTCGTTCCGGGATCTTCAGAAACCAGAGCATATTTGGACCTTTGTTCCGGGATCTTCAGAAGCCAGAGCATACGGTGGACCCCAGTTCCTGGACCTTCAGAAACCAGAGCTTACGTGGACCCCCGTTCCTGGACCTTCAGAAACCAGAACATACCTTAGACTTCGTTCCTGGATCTTCAGAAACCAGAGCAACGACCAGTGGAGGAATATTGTTGGATAGAAGACGCAAGCTGGACACGAACATCAATAAAGCGCAGTTCGGTAGACGTACCAGCCAAGATATCCCACAACCTTCCCCTTCGTTTGTGTTAATACCGTGTTTTCTATACTTCTAGTGCCGTGTATTAACATTCATAGCATCACGCTGACCGCATTCGGTAACGGTCAGAATAAACAACGCATCGGATTCGCAAATCGTAAGTACCCACATTCTTTTCACAAACCACAGTTATGGATCAGGCTAACCTATCTATTCCCATTAAGTCCCCTACTAGCTCCCCCAGTAAGACTAGTAGTGAAATAAATGTTTATATACGCAAAAGGGGCGTGATAAAAGGTAGACTTACTAAATTACAAAAATATGTAGAATCAGTATGTTCCCAACAGGCATTATTTAAAAAGGCTGAATTTAAGTTACGCATACAAGGTGCTTCTTCTCTTTTAACCGACTTTAACGAAGTTCAGTCTAAAATTGAGGAACATTCTGATGATATCGATGAACAATTAGAGTGTAGAGAGGAATTCGAAACTAGTTATTATAGTGTGATTGCTAGGGCTGACAGTGTGCTATCTGACGATAAAATCTCTGAACAATCTCATCAGGGACCTCTTAATATGGTCAAACTACCGACCATCTCCCTACCCAGTTACGATGGATCCTATGAGAATTGGTTAGAATTCAGAGACATTTACCTATCACTAATACATAACTCTAAAGAAATAACCCCTATTCAAAAATTTCATTATTTAAAATCGTCATTGAAGGGTAGTGCTGAATTAGTTATAGATTCACTTGAATTTTCAGCAATTAATTATTCCGTTGCATGGGAGTTACTTATTAATAGATATGATAATAGCAGATTATTAATTCACAATCATGTCAAGGCACTATTTTCAATTCAGCCGCTACCAAAAGAATCGCCAGTATTATTAAGAAAGCTCGTTGATACCGTCCTAAAAAATATCCGCGCATTAAAAATTCTCGGCGAACCAACGGAACACTGGGACACACTAATTATTTTTATAGTGGTCTCCAAGTTCGATTCGAATACTGAACGTGAATGGGAGCAACACAAAACACTCCTATTCTCACTTAACACCAGTGCATCTGAAGGTCAATTGAAAGTTGATAGTCTACTTGATTTTATTTCGCGTCGAGCAGACATGTTAGAAACGTTATTAAGTACAAATCATAATTTAACGCACAATATTAATAAAAAACCAACTCATAACTCATCGCAGAGGGTATACTGTAACGTTTCTTCCATGTCCACGAATAAATCTCAACAATATACACCTGTACACCGTAAACCTTGCCCCATGTGTCATTCTAAACATTCATTATATTCGTGCCAATTATTTTTAGATTTATCAATTGCCGATAAATATAAATTAATTACACAAAATAAACTATGCGAGAACTGCTTACGCTTCGGACATTCCGTCAATGACTGCCGGAGTGGTTGTTGTAAACATTGCTCGAAAAAACATAATTCTATTTTACACGAACAAAAGAGCGCTTTAGCACTATTCACATTAGATGGCAAATCGCATGTGCCCTTATCGACATCGAGTAATGACTCAGTCTTATTGTCCACTGCCATGATTGAAGTTTGTGACGAACGTAATAACTATCACAGCGCACGGGCGCTACTGGATAACGGTAGTCAGCGATGTTTCATAACACAATCGTTTTGCGAGAAAATAGGCACGCCATTAATACAGTCCACTCATACCATAAAGGGTGTAGGCAGCGCGGTAACACAGTGCACGCAGATTTGTAACATCATCATCAAATCCCTGTGTAGCCCCTACACCACAAATATACAATGTTTAGTTATTCAGAATATTACATCAGATTTACCATCAACATCAATTAATATAAACAATATTCGCATTCCAACTCACGTACAGTTAGCCGACCCATCATATCATGAGTCACAACCGATTGACATTTTAATAGGTGCGGACTATTTCTGGGATCTCCTTGACGAAGGAAAGATTCGTTTAAAGAATGGTCCATTTTTACAAAATACCAAATTAGGATGGATCATATCGGGGCCCATATATAACAACACACACAAACATTCACAGGTTCTTTGTAATTTTACTCACTCACTAGACACACAGGTGAGAAAGTTCTGGGAACTTGAGGAATTTCCTAGGGCTACTGATATACATAGTGATGAGGAAAAGGCTTGTGAGGAACACTTTATTAAAACTACAACTCGCACAACAGATGGTAGATTTTGTGTAAGCATCCCCTTTAAGATTGACCCTCTTTTATTGGGTGAGTCATATTCACAAGCAAAAAATCGTTTTTACGCACTTGAAAGACGATTACAACACACACCGGAATATAAGGAATTATATGTTTCATTCATGAGGGAATATATTAGTTTAGGCCATATGTCACAAGTACATACATACAATACTCCACACTACATATTGCCGCATCATGGAGTATTTCGCGCACATAGTACTAACAAAACTACGAGTTGTATTTGACGCGAGCGCGACGACCACCTCAGGTAAATCGCTTAATGACTTACAACTCGTAGGTGCTGCTATACAGGGTGACTTAATTGCCATTTTATTACGTTTTAGGCAACATCGGTGGGTAGCGTGTGCCGATATCGAAAAGATGTATCGACAGGTATTAGTGAATCATAATCAACGCGACTTACAATTAATATTATGGCGCGAAAATCCCACAGATGAGTTAGGTATATATCAACTCAACACAGTGACATACGGTACAGCATCGGCACCTTTCCTCAGCGTCCGTTGTTTAAAGGAGTTGGCGTCTAAAAGCTCAAATGAAGAAGTTAGTAGAACTATACGTGAGGATTTCTATGTCGACGATTTAATCACTGGTTCTTCTGACAGTGTTGAACATTTAGTTCAACTTTGTGAGGAGGTTAATAAAACCTTAATGTCAGGCTGTTTTCCACTACGGAAGTGGATATTCAATTTTAGTCAAGAGTCGATTCCGTCACATAACTTACATGCATCAAAGGAATTGTCTTTTGATAAAAATACACAACAAAAAACATTGGGCCTTGCATGGTGTAATCAGTCTGACACACTTAACTTTTGTACAGAATTTAGTATTGATTATGAAACATTAACTAAACGCGTCATACTGTCAAAGATTTCTAAAATATTTGACCCGTTGGGAATGCTCAGTCCTTTCATAATTATAATTAAAGTTTTATTACAAAAGCTGTGGCTACTAAAGCTCGACTGGGATGAACCGTTACCCAGTGATATCATTCGACAATGGGAACGGTTTGTTGACAACACCCCATTGCTTGCTAATATACACATACCGCGAAACGTAATAGGTAATAATCCATCGCGCATAGAATTACACATTTTTACAGACGCATCTCAGACGGCCTACGGTGCGTGCGCGTATGTACGCACCATATGTGATGACGATGAGATCACTGTCAGATTGTTGTGTTCAAAAGGAAAGGTCGCCCCTATAAAACCTACCAGTATCCCGCGGTTGGAGCTGTGTGGTGCTCTGTTAGGTGCTAGACTTTTCGAAAAAATACAACAATCACTACGGTGTCAATTTAGTAAGGTAGTTTTTTGGACCGACTCGACTATTGTTCTCGCTTGGTTACGAATGAACCCTAATTTGCTGAAACCTTTTGTTCAAAATAGGACCGCTGAAATACAAGAGTTGACAAGGGACCATACATGGCACCACGTATCAGGCAACCAAAATCCAGCAGACATAGTGTCCCGTGGATCCTATTTAGATACATTACATAGTTGCAAATTATGGTGGGAGGGCCCCCTCTTTTTATTCGACATTACTTATGACGCATCAAAGGACAACTGTACTGAATCTAAGACTAACACGGACTGGTCAGTGTTAGACTTGCCTGAAATCAAGTCAAAATCAGTACATTGCAATCACATTATACATCAAAACAATTGGTTTCCATTCCATAGATTCTCTCAACTCAATCGCATGATACGCGCCTGCGCCTACATGTTACGCTTCATACACAACACAAAAAATAAAATTAATAAACGGACAGGTGTGTTGAGTGTCAATGAGTTGAACGAATCACAACAGAAATTAGTATATTTTGCGCAACTAGAGTCCTACTCCGACACCTACGATATATTAAATAAACACGGTCAATTAAATAATTCGCACAATTTATCAAATTTAAATCCATTTATCGATAAAAACAATTTAATTAGAGTGGGCGGTCGACTTAGTAATTCTACTTCATTTTCTTACGATAAAAAACATCCCATATTGATACCAGCTAAACATCACTTCACAGTACTACTGTTTCGTGCAGAACACAAGCGGCTACTACATGCAGCGCCACAGGCTCTCTTGTATGCGATAAGGGAAACGTGGTGGCCTGTTAGTGGACGGAATGTTGCTAAACAAACTGTTTATAATTGTGCCAAATGCGCCCGATTTCGAGCCAAACCCCTCACACCGCTCATGGGTAATCTACCCATACAACGCGTAAGCCCAGGATTTGCCTTCATGTATACAGGGGTTGATTATATGGGTCCAGTTTATATTTTAAACCGCAAAGGTCGAGGTGCACGCATTGTAAAGGCATATGTTGCAATTTTTATTTGTTTCACTACTCGTGCAGTTACTTTAGAGTTGGTAGGGGATTTGTCAACAGATGCATACTTGTTGGCTATCAATCGGTTTATTTCTCGTCGTGGTAAACCGTCTGATATATTTTCTGATAACGGCAGAAACTTTGTCGGCCTTATGAACGAATTTCATAAGTTCCTCTCTAATTGTTCACAAGATATTTTAAATTACGCTACTAGTCACAGCATAAATTTTCATTTTATACCTCCTTATTCTCCTCATTTCGGTGGTTTGTGGGAAGCAGGGGTTCGGTTATGTAAGCATTCTTTGCGAAGGGTAGTCGGGAATTTACATTTAACGTACGAAGAGTTCAACACGGTATTAACTCAAGTAGAAGCTGTCATGAACTCTCGTCCCCTTAGCCCTATGTCCTCGGATCCTCATGATTATCTTCCATTAAGCCCTGCTCATTTCTTGGTTGGTCGTCCGCTGACCGCACCACCGTGCAACGATCTTCAAGACGCCGCGCCAACGAGTTTGACACGATATCAGCGCGTGGAACAAATTCGCCAACATTTTTGGACAAGATGGTCCAAAGAATATATATCCGAGATGCAGACAAGGAATAAATGGAAAACACGTCAAGCAGACTTAAAACCAAATACATTAGTACTTATCAAAGATGACCACTTACCTCCATTAAAGTGGCATTTGGGTCGTATCGTGTCCACTGTTCCAGGCAGCGACGACGTATCAAGAGTTGCTGATATAAGGACCGAGTCAGGCATCATTAGGCGGGCATTCTCAAAAATATGTCCTCTCTGGGAGGAAGACTTGAAAGTAGAATCTTTCAAGGCCGGGGGCATGTTAAAGCATTAACAATTTATTCACTCCTGCGTATAATGAAGCGGTTACAGCGGTAAAACCAATGGACGACTGCTAAGTTAAAAATAGATAATCACGCACACAACATCAACCAGTCACAAGAGCCGCTCATCACGACATCGCGAGAACGCCAATCATAACGCAGGAAAAATTTACATGACCTTTCAGGTTTTCAAAATTGTAACTGACTCGCAAAACAAAACTTCAACGCATAACATCAAATATATATTACATCAACGCTTCAAATTATTATTTATTTTATTTACCCTAGTGCCATAAATCGCTTCAAATACTAGATGTATTTATTCATCATCATCATCATCATATCATCTGTTCATCATCAAAACGTAAGCGCACATCATTAACACCTACTACGAAAGATTTACTTCTAAATAAATTTTTTTTATACAACTTAGAATGGCAAACAAGCTGACGGTCCACCTGATGGAAAGTGGTAACCGTCGCCTATAGACATGAGCAGTACCATGGACATAACAGAGTATACTGTTTCGCCCATGATACCCCCCATGCGTTGCCATTCCTGAGGACTCAGATGTTATTCCTTTGTACCCTATAAATTCACGCCATATCCCACCCTTCAAATCGAAACACAGCCATGCAAACACAACTGCTTCACGGTAGAATGGGACAAAGGTACCCAAGCAAAGGACTTTTGTACAAAGTCTCCCTCTGGTATATAATTGTGTATTCAAATATATACAATATTATCTGTCTATGAAATTTTTCTAGTGTGTTTTGCTATGATCGAAAGCGCTACTTTACCTTTACATACATACATACATTTTGTCACGTCTGTCTCCCATTAGGGTAGGTAGAAACAATGGAACGCGAAATACTTATTTTATTATTCAAACAAGCCTCTTTCGCCTTAATACATCTGTTTGAATTATATTTCTATTATTTCAGACTCAAGTGATTTTCCAACACTATGTTATGGGAAATACGGAAGAGTATTTCACTAAAGCGTCAGAGTTCTGCCCTGAACGATGGATACAGAGGACTGCTGGGCAGAACCACCATCCTTTCGCATCGCTGCCTTTTGGTTTTGGGAAACGAATGTGCCTCGGTAGACGATTTGCTGAATTGGAAATACATACTGTGATTTGTAAGGTAATATTATATTATATATAGTAATACTAGCTTTTACCCATGTCTTGGTCCGCGTGAGTGAAATATGTACAATGATCGGGATAAAACGTAGTCTTTATTTTTCTTCATCCCATAGTTACGTGTATATCCTAGTGATTGGTTAAGTCATTGAGGCGACAAAATGCATAAACAAACAGAAATACGACTTTTACATATACATTATTATTAGTTTGATAATAGATTTCATTTTTTAAATCTTTTTTTTAAATCGAGTGTCGGCGACAGATGTGCCTTCTGCTTTAATTTGTAAAATGATCAGCAAACTGAGTGCTACGCTCACTACAACGGCAATAAATGCCAAATGTTTCCATCATATATGACACACGATCAATAAGCTGACAGCTTAGATACTTGATTGATAGTGATCACTGTAACTTGTAGATATGAACAGCACTTCGATCATTACAGAATACATTATAAAGCCCAAACGCATCAAGCGTTGCTATTTCTGAGGACCTGTAATGGATTTACCCATTTGCTGCTAGTAGGCTATTCAAATTTTGTCGCCTCTACCGACCTCTACGATTCGATACTCTGTTTTGCAATTATGTTAATTATACTTTTGTTTAATTAATTAAATTTTAACTTTTGGCATTAAATTTGCTACTCCTAAAATCAGTCGCCTTAGACTGAAGCCTACGCAGCTTGCTAGTAAAATCGGCGCTGCTAAGGACTATCGTATTGTATCTCTACTCAGAAATTGACTATCATGTACTTCTCCACTCTTCAAACTTAACCCTTAATCTGAAGTTTCAAATTTGATACCGGGGTTATAAATCGCATTGGGCACCTACGATCGATTTTATTTTAATATTTGGTTGTTTACATGTTACTAAATTTTTTTTTTTTAAATAAATATATAAAAATATCGTTTTGATTTTTTTACTATTTTTCCCCATTAGTAAACACACTAACTGAACGATATCTGAATTCATATTTAAAAAAATTTTTTTAGAAAAATTTATAAGTCTGTATGTTTGTTACGACATCACGCAAAAACTACTACACCAAATTAGGTGCGGTTTTCACAGCTGTGTTGCTGTAGGTCTAACTTAAATAACAGGCATAGGTTTCATTTTGATATGCCAATGAGATTTTTTTTTATTGGTTTTCCTATTTCTGAAATCCACGCGTGTATGTATGTAGCAGACAGAAGACTAGTTTTAAAATATCTTTATACATAACTAAATAATTTTATGTAAGATTTTGACAAAGACAATTTGCTTTCAGATGGTGCAAGCTTTCAAAATGGAATATCACCATCAGCCTTTGGAATACCATGTCCATCCCATGTACACACCAAATGGACCGATACGCTTGAAACTAATTGAACGATAGACAATTTGACATATATTCTGATCATTGTATGTATATATAATATGTATGTATAAGAATAAATAAACATTCTTATGCAAACGCATGATAGAGCCTTCCAAAGTAAAATATTGTATTGCCACTTTGGATGGTTTTTATTAGCTTATACTTTTTTAAAGTAATTAAAAAACTGAACAAACTTAAAAATTAGTAAAATGACGTTCGGCCGTAGAAAATGCAAGACCGGAGATATGTTGAATGTGAGTCTTCCTTAAAAAGGAAAAGATACAAAATGTAGTTAAGGAAATTATTTCTTTTCTTAGCATGTTATATTATCTAAAAAAAGAGACTTTTTTTTTCTTATTTGGTCAACTTTGAGATATTAGTTTTTTTTAAGAGTGCGATAGGTACAGTTTTATTTAGGTAATCATTATATCATCATCATCATCATTTCAGCCATTAACTGCGTCCTGCTAAAAATAGGCCTCCCCCATAAGGAGGGTTTTGCTAGTAGTTGCCATGCTTGGCAGGCGGGTTGGCAACAGCAGTTAGGCTTTTGATGATGTTTTAATAAATAGATACCTATTTAGAAATATTGTAAAATAAAGATTAAAAAAGTACTTATTTAATTTCACTGAATATAATTAATACATAAGAGGATCGAAGTCACTTAAACCCATTTCTGGTGGGTCGGGCATTAAAATAACATTTGATTTTATCTATTTTAATAATGATTTAAATTTAATAAAGAAATAATCATTTCATTTATGAGGTTTTTTTTTCTTAAAAATAAGTGTATTAACTCAATGGCTAATAAAAAAAAACTACTAACCCCCCTCCCTTCCTTTTTCAAAGGAAATTCTGTTCCTATTAATAAGAAAGTCAAATCACTCATAAACGTGTTTTAGTTATTGAAGCGTTTTACCTTTAACGTTAAGTTTTCGATTTGAAAGACATTGAAAAAATACTTCAATAGCAAAAATAGTTTAGTAGGCGTTTTTTATGCAACTATAGTGGCAAACAAGCATGCGGCCCGTCTAATGGTAAACGGGCTCACCGTAGTCTATGGACGTATGTTTTTATGAATAAGGTGGTGAGTATTTGTATAAGTGTGATAACGTCTAGTAATAAGTTTCTAGGGAGCTTTTTTTATACACAAAAGCCTCTGATTGGCTTATTGGATGATAGATTTACATGTATATTGAAGCACGAATCGAGTGACGACAATTTAAATGATTCTAACATAAATTTAAAATTTTGTCTAGTTAAACTTTGGCAGAGTGAGCTGGAGAGCTAGCATTCGTACAATATTTATTATTTAAATTCATTTTATTATTATTTAATACTAGCTTTTACCCATGATTTTGTTCGTGTGATTAGGAAATGTTTACTAACCGGGAACTACCGTGCATACTACTATTTCCTTCTCCGTTCTATATAGTATATATATACTATATTTCAGTGATTGGTTAAGTCTTTAAGACGCTGTAAGGTAACAAACAAACGAGCTTACTTTGTTGGTAACATAAATAATAATTTATAAAATGTATAAAATATTTTTTTACACATGGTAACATCGTTCCTTCTGTCACTCAACACCGTTGGAAGTGCACGTCTCTCACTGTATCGTCAAATATATATATTTAAAATACGAATTCGAAGGAGGTTTGGTTTTTTATTTATGTGGCCTCACAACCACATCTTGCGACTTGGGACCGAAGAAACTAGGTGTTGGTAAGTTACAGTCTACGCTCTTGGTTTTTATGGTAAACACTACATTTTACCATTTATTATTAAGGATAATAAACTCGAAAGTTTGTAACGATGGATCGATGGATGTTTGTTACTCTTTCATGCAAAAACTACTGAACGGATTTGAATGAAATTTGGTATACGGGTAGGTTATATCCTAACTTAGCACTTAGGATACATTATTTACTGAGACAGGCGGGCGGAGTCACGGAGTACAGCTTGTAGTTTTATAAGTTGATAATGTTGGTACTAATAACGATTATTTTTTCATTCGGTTTATTTTTCGTTTGTCAGTGACTACACCACTATGTAACTACGTCATATCTGAACCGATTTGGAAAATTTTACTTTTATGTGAAAGGATATGCTTTCAGATCGCTCCCATAGAAAAGTTATCAAAATCGGTTCTAGTTTTTTTTTTAAATGATAACAACTGGTTTGGCCACGATTGAAGTAGGTTTTCTTTGTAAAAATTATTGATATTTTTTCCTACAAATTCAACATAGTTTCTACCGACTTCAAAAAGAAGGAGGTTTTCAATTCTCTTGTATTTTTTTATGTTTGTTACCTCATAACTCCGTCAGTTGTAAACCAATTAGAAGAAGTATTTTTTTATCTGATAGGATATATGTATAGACTGATTCCGAAAAACTCAAAATGTGTACAGTAGTTTTGTTTTTATATCAAACTTCCTGCCACAACGTTATTTTTTGCACAATATTAATTATATTTTTTTATATTTTACACCTATTATATTTTACACTGTGTTCGTGACTGTACCCGGTACTGAGATAAATATTTAGCAATCATACGCCTCTAGGTTATGAAGAAGTAAGTTATATTAAGTCTATGGTATATGCAGTATTATATTTATAATTGGATAACAGAAGTTTAATGAACTTACAATATTTATTATTCCCGACATTTTAATTTCAATCGGAAGTCTTTTTCAGGGAGAGTATGGAGTTTACGTTGTATCATCTCATTTTGTATTATTTGTTATATTACAGTCATGTTTTAAGACCATTTATATATTCAAATTTATAATATAATCTATATTTGTAAGAAATTTATATTATCAATAGCAATGATTTTATTTTATTGTTCGCGAACTTACGTTTCATAATAGGATAAATAAAACACAAATTACATTCATAGAATGTTTTACTTAGATTGACTCGAAAAGCAATCTTATGACTAAACAAAATTCAAATTATGATTTTCAATACATTTTGTGTTGTAGTTAATTCGATAAAAAGCAGTTATTCGTTAATTTATTGTACTCGTATCTTTTCTACATCACAAAATGCACACGTAATCAAAAGAAACACAATTTTAAAATAATCAATTATTATGAACATATTTCTATACATTGAATGGCCACATCGACATACTGACAAACATATATTTACAAATAGTTATCACAATGTAGATATTATATTTAATATCATTTTCTCATATATTATACAAGTACATAATACCATATTTGGAAAATATACAAAGTATAATAATTAATAATATGTTTGTACTTTGACTAGGGAATGAAAAATATACAATTTCAGAGGATGTTCAAACTGGTTATATTTATGGCACTATTTTATATATATAAAATAGGCATACTAGCTTAGAGCCTGTTTTATTTAAAAGCTAAAAGGCAGTGATAGTTCACATAGACAATAAAATTATTACTAAGAATAAAATATAGGTAATTCTTACTAGGCAGCATCAATATTTAGTGCTAAATGTTTGCCACTTGGCAATTCGAGAGAATTGCAATGTAAATTAAAGTTATAATATCACAATATTACTGGTAAATTATGATGTACCTTTATTAACAAATACTTTGAGCGCTATTATTTTTTATTGTGACGGATTTTTTATATCTTCTGTAAAGATGAACAGCGATCGTTAGCGACAGTGCCAAGACGACGACAGAGCCGACTGATAAAAATATAAGAGCTGATCCACTAACAGAAGGGGCGATAGTTTCATTTATATGGCTCACGTCTCTTACGGGTCTTGAACGTGGTTTCGTTCTAGCAAATTCGAAGTTATCTGTAAATAATATTCTCAAATCAATAAAACAATAATTGTTAATATATTACGTTAACGCTTTCAATATAACTTACCAATTTCTGACTGTGATTCGTCATAATAATCAATATTCTTAGAAGCTAGTCTTCCAACTCTAGGTGACTTTACTTCATTCTCTGCTGGGAATGGGGGAAGGTACGTAGATGGAGGATTAGTGCTACTAGGTCGGAAAGGCTGAGGACAGTTAGGGTCTCTGGACCCGGGATAACATGAACTAGGAGTAGAAGTAGGGGATTGTGGTGTTGATTTTGGGCACCTAGGATCCGATGAACCTGGATAACAGTTAGGTCTAGATGTAGGTCGGGGAGGTGTTACAGTTGAAGGTCTTGTCGGTTCTTGACAATTTGGATCAGGAGATCCTGGATAGCATACTGGTTTAGGCGGACTTGTTTTAGAACATCTAGGATCTGTAGAACCAGGATAGCATTGTGGTAGAGTAGTTGGTGGAACTGTAACTGACGTTGTTGGTGTTTTAGGACAACGTGGATCTGTTGAACCTGGGAGACAATTTTGAATAGTCGAAGAATATATTGGAGGTACTGTAGTTGTTGGTTGAGATGGCTGAGGGCAGTTATGATCACGTGATCCTGGATAACATATTGGCTTCGAAGGTGTGGGTCTAGGGCACCTAGGATCGGTACTACCTGGATAACAGTTGGGCTGTGAAGTTGTTGGTTTAGGACACCTGGGATCTGTAGATCCTTGATAGCAGTTAGGCCGTGAAGATGATGGTGGTAGATAAGTAGGTGGTGTCAATGTAGAAGGTCGAGGTGGTTGTGGGCAATTAGGGTCTGGTGATCCAGGGTAACATACAGGTTTCTGAGTAGTTGTTTTAGGACATCTAGGATCTGAGCTACCAGGATAGCAGTTGGGACGAGCTGTGGTTGTTGGCTGCGGACATCTTGGGTCTGTGCTACCAGAATAGCAGTTGGGACGAGCTGTGGTTGTTGGTTGAGGGCACCTTGGATCTCTACTGGCTGGGTAGCAGTTGGGTTGAGAAGGTGTTGTTGGTTGTGGACATCTTGGATCTGTATTGCCTGGGTAGCAGTTTGGACGAGGAGTAGTTGTAGGTTGGGGACACCTTGGATCTGTGCTACCTGGGTAGCAGCTAGGTTGAGAAGGTGATGTTGGTTTTGGACATCTTGGATCTGTGCTACCTGGGTAGCAGTTAGCTTGTGAAGGTGTTGTTGGTTTCGGACATCTTGGATCTGTACTGCCTGGGTAGCAGTTTGGATGAGAAGTAGTTGTAGGTTGAGGACACCTTGGGTCTGTGCTACCAGGAGAGCAGATGGGACGGGCTGCAGTTGTTGGTTGGGGACATCTTGGATCTGTACTACCTGGATAGCAGTTGGGTTGGGTAGGCGTTGTGGGTTTAGGACACCTTGGATCTGTACTACCTGGATAGCAGTTGGGTTGAGAAGGCGTTGTTGGTTTTGGACATCTTGGGTCTGTGCTACCAGGGTAGCAGTTGGGACGAGCTGTGGTTGTTGGTTGAGGGCACCTTGGATCTGTAGTACCTGGGTAGCACTTGGGTTGAGAAGGCGTTGTTGGTTTTGGACATCTTGGGTCTGTGCTACCAGGATAGCAGTTGGGACGAGCTGTGGTTGATGGCTGAGGACATCTTGGATCTGTGCTACCTGGGTAGCAGCTAGGTTGAGAGGGTGATGTTGGTTTTGGACATCTTGGATCTGTGCTACCTGGGTAGCAGTTAGTTTGTGAAGGCGTTGTTGGTTTCGGACATCTTGGATCTGTACTGCCTGGGTAGCAGTTTGGACGAGGAGTAGTTGTAGGTTGAGGACACCTTGGGTCTGTGTTACCAAGATAGCAGTTGGGACGAGCTGTGGTTGATGGCTGAGGACATCTTGGATCTGTGCTACCTGGGTAGCAGCTAGGTTGAGAGGGTGATGTTGGTTTTGGACATCTTGGATCTGTGCTACCTGGGTAGCAGTTAGGTTGAGAGGGTGTTGTTGGTTTTGGACATCTTGGATCTGTACTGCCTGGGTAGCAGTTTGGACGAGGAGTAGGTGTAGGTTGAGGACACCTTGGATCTGTGCTACCAGGATAGCAGTTGGGACGAGCTGTGGTTGATGGCTGCGGACATCTTGGATCTGTGCTACCTGGATAGCAGCTAGGTTGAGAGGGTGATGTTGGTTTTGGACATCTTGGATCTGTGTTACCTGGGTAGCAGTTAGGTTGAGAGGGTGTTGTTGGTTTTGGACATCTTGGATCTGTACTGCCTGGGTAGCAGTTTGGACGAGGAGTAGTTGTAGGTTGAGGACACCTTGGGTCTGTGCTACCGGAATAACAGTCGGGGCCAGATGTGGTTGTTGGTTTCGGACAACGAGAGTCTGAAGATCCTGGATAACAAATAGGCCTTGACGTTGATGGCGGTAAATAAGTAGGAGGAATCAGTGTAGTAGGACGTGATGGTTGTGGACAATTAGGGTTTGGTGAGCCGGGATAGCAGTTAGGACGCGGAGTCGTGATTGTTTGGGAGCACCTTGGGTCTTTGCTACCAGGATAGCAGTTAGGACGAGCTGTAGTTGTTGGCTGAGGACATCTTGGGTCTGTGCTACCAGGGTAACAGTTTGGACGAGGAGTAGTTGTTGGTTGGGCACACCTTGGGTTGGTGTTACCAGGATAGCAGTTAAGACGAGAAGTAGTTGTTGGTTGAGTTGTGGTTGTTCGCTGGGGACACCTTGGATCTGTGCTACCAGGATAGCAGCTGGGGCGAGGCGTAGTCGTTGGTTGAGGGCATCTTGGGTCTGTGCTACCAGGATAGCACTTTGGGCGAGATGATGTCGCGGGTGTTGGGCATTTGGGGTCCGTAGATCCTGGATAGCATTTGGGACGAGGTGTGGTTGTTGCTTGAGGACATCTGATGTCAGTTGATCCTGGGTAACAATTAGGCCTTGAAGTCGATGGTGGCAAATACGTGGGGGGAGTTAATGTAGTTGGACGAGAGGGTTGCGGACAACCTGGATCTGGTGAGCCGGGATAACATGTTGGCTTCTGAGTAGAGGTTTGAGGACATTTGGGATCTTTATTTCCAGGATAGCAATTAGGATGTGAAGGTGTTGTTGGTTTTGGACATCTGGGGTCTGTGCTGCCTGGGTAGCAGTTTGGACGAGAAGTAGTTGATAGTTGAGGGCACCTTTGGTCTGTGCTACCAGGATAGCAGTTGGGTCGAGCTGTAGTTGTTGGTTGAGGACACCTTGGATCTGTACTACCTGGATAACAGTTGGGTTGGGGAGGCGATGTGGGTTTTGGACATCGTGAATCTGTGCTACCAGGGTAGCAGTTGGGACGAGAAGTAGTTGTAGGTTGGGGACACCTTGGGTCCGAGCTACCAGGAGAGCAGTTGGGACGAGCTACAGTTGTTGGTTGAGGACACCTTGGATCTGTACTACCTGGATAGCAGTTGGGTTGAGAAGGTGTTGTGGGTTTTGGACATCGAGGATCTGTACTACCTGGATAGCAGTTGGGTTGAGAAGGTGTTGTCGGTTTTGGACATCTTGGATCTGTGCTACCAGGGTAGCAGTTGGGACGAGGAGTAGTTGTTGGTTGAGGACACCTTGGATCTGTACTACCTGGATAGCAGTTGGGTTGAGAAGGTGTTGTGGGTTTTGGACATCGTGGATCTGTACTACCTGGATAGCAGTTGGGTTGAGAAGGAGTTGTGGGTTTTGGACATCGTGGATTTGTGCTACCTGGGTAGCAGTTGGGTTGAGAAGGCGATGTTGGTTTTGGACATCTTGGATCTGTGCTACCTGGGTAGCAGTTTGGACGAGGAGTAGTTGTAGGTTGGGGACACCTTGGGTCCGTGCTACCAGGAGAGCAGTTGGGACGAGCTACAGTTGTTGGTTGAGGACACCTTGGATCTGTACTACCTGGATGGCAGTTGGGTTGAGAAGGTGTTGTGGGTTTTGGACATCGTGGATCTGTACTACCTGGATAGCATTTGGGTTGGGAAGGTGTTGTAGGTTTTGGACATCGTGGGTCTGTGCTACCTGGGTAGCAGTTGGGTTGAGAAGGCGATGTTGGTTTTGGACATCTGGGATCTGTGCTACCTGGGTAGCAGTTTGGTCGAGGAGTAGTTGTAGGTTGGGGACATCTTGGATCTATGCTACCAGGAGAGCAGATGGGACGGGCTATAGTTGTTGGTTGAGGACATCTTGGATCTGTACTATCTGGATAGCAGTTGGGTTGGGTAGGCGTTGTGGGTTTAAGACACCTTAGATCTGTACTACCTGGATAGCAGTTGGGTTGAGAAGGCGTTGTTGGTTTTGGACATCTTGGATCTGTGCTACCTGGGTAGCAGCTTGGACGAGGAGTAGTTGTAGGTTGGGGACACCTTGGGTCTGTGCTACCAGGATAACAATTGGGGCGGGATGTTGTTGTTGATAATGTTGGTGGCGGCAAATATGTAGGAGGCGTTAATGTAGTAGGCCTAGATGGTTGTGGACATTTAGGGTCAGGAGAGCCAGGGTAACATACAGCTTTTTGGGTGGTTGATTGAGGACATCTTGGATCTGTGCTACCAGGATAGCAAGTGGGTCGACCTGTAGTTGTTTGTTGCGGACATCTTACGTCTGTGCTGCCAGGATAGCAATTAGGTTGAGAAGGCGTTGTTGGTTTTGGACATCTTGGATCTGTGTTATCCGGGTAACAATTAGGTTGAGAAGGTATTGTTGGTTTTGAACACCTTGGGTCTGTGCTACCTGGGTAGCAGTTAGATTGAGAAGGTGTGGTTGGTTTAGGACATCTTGAGTCTGTACTACCTGGGTAGCAATTAGGTTGAGAAGGCGGTGTTGGTTTTGGACACCTTGGGTCAGTACTACCGCGATAACAGTTAGGACGAGCAGTAGTTAACGGTTGAGAACATCTTGAATCTGTACTACCAGGGTAACAATTGGGGCGAGTTGATGTTGTCGATATGGGACAGTTAGGGTCTGTAGATCCTGGATAGCATTTGGGACGTATAGTTGTTGATTGTGGACATCTGGGATCTGTACTTCCAGGATAACAGTTAGGACGAGATGTGGTTGTTGGTTGAGAACACTGAGTATCAGTAGAACCTGGGTAACACTTTGGTCGTGATGTTGATGGCGGTAAATAAGTAGGAGGCGTTAATGTAGTAGGTCGAGATACTTGTGGGCAATTAGGGTCAGGTGAGCCTGGATAACATATTGGTTTTTGAGTTGTTGACTTAGAACATCTTGTATCAGTACTACCAGGGTAGCAGTTTGGACGTGTAGGTATTGTTGGTTTTGGACATTTTGGATCTGTGCTGCCTGGGTAGCAGTTTGGGCGAGGAGTAGTTGTAGGTTGGGGACATCTTGGATCTGTGCTACCAGGATAGCAGTTGGGACGAGCTGTTGTTGTTGGTTGAGGGCACCTTGGATCTCTACTACCTGGGTAGCAGTTGGGTTGAGAAGGTGTTGTTGGTTTTGGACATCTTGGATCTGTACTGCCTGGGTAGCAGTTTGGACGAGGAGAAGTTGTAGGTTGGGGACATTTTGGGTCAGTGCTACCAGGATAGCAGTCAGGACGAGCTGTGCTTGTTGATTGAGGACATCTTGGATCTGTGCTACCAGGATAGCAAGTGGGACGAGCTGTGGTTGTTGGTTGAGGGCACCTTGGATCTTTATTACCTGGGTAGCAGTTGGGTTGAGAAGGTGATGTTGTTTGTGGACATCTTGGATCTGTACTGCCTGGGTAGCAGTTTGGACGGGGAGTAGTTGTTGATTGAGGACATCTTGGGTCAGTGCTACCAGGATAGCAGTTGGGACGAGCTGGAGTTGTTGGTTGAGGACATCTTGGGTCTTTGCTACCAGGATAGCAGTTCGGACGAGTTGTAGTTGTTGGTTGAGGACACCTTGGATCTGTGCTGCCAGGGTAACAGTTTGGACGGGAAGTAGTTGTTGTTTGAGGACAATTTGAGTCTGTGCTACCAGGATAGCAGTTTGGACGACCTGTAGTTGTTGGTTGAGGACACCTTGGATCTGTGCTACCAGAATAACAGTTGGGACGAGCTGTGGTTGATGGCTGAGGACACCTTGGGTCGGTACTACCAGGATAGCATTTAGGACGAACCGTTATTGTTGGTTGAGAACAACTTGGGTCTGTACTGCCAGGGTAGCAGTTGGGGCGCAGTGTAGTTGATTGAGTACATTTGGGATTTGAGGATCCTGGATAACACTTGATACCCGTTGTAGATGGTGGAAGGTAGGTAGGAGGATTTAGAGTAGTGGGACGAGATGGTTGTGGACAATTTGGATTAGGAGAGCCCGGATAACAGACTGGTTTAGATGTAGTTGTAGTTATTTGAGGACAACGTGGATCTAAGCTGCCTGGGTAACAGTTTGGTCGTGATGTTGTGGGCTGTGGACATCTGACATCTGTACTTCCAGGGAAACATCTTGGCGTGATTAAGGCAGAGGTAGTTAACTGTGGAGTAGAGGAAGGTAAATACGTGGGTAATCTTGATGTAGTTGTACCTATTGGTCGTGAACATCGTGAATCTTTTGAACCCGGATAGCATTCAGGTCTTAGGTGACGAAGTAGACAGACTACATCTCGGATCAGAGCTACCTGGATAACAAGTAGGACTAGCTGTGGATGTTATCCGATAACATTTTGGATCTGTACTTCCAGGATAACAACCTAGTGGAGCAACAGTTGTTGATTTGATACAACGAGGATCACTAGATCCGGAGAAACATTTTGGTTGTGACGTCGATGGTGGTAAATAAGTAGACGGTGTAAGTGTGGAAGGTTGCGATGGCTTTGGGCAGTTAGGATCTGGAGATCCAGGATAACAGTTAGGTTGAGAAGGTGTTGTTGGTTTTGGACATCTTGGATCTGCACTACCTGGGTAGCAGTTAGGTTGAGAAGGCGTTGTTGGTTTTGGACATCTTGGATCTGTGCTACCTGGGTAGCAGTTGGGCTGAGAAGGAGTTGTTGGTTTTGGACATCTTGGATCTGTGCTACCTGGGTAGCAGTTAGGTTGAGAGGGCGTTGTTGGTTTTGGACATCTTGGATCTGTGCTACCTGGGTAGCAGTTGGGTTGAGAAGGAGTTGTAGGTTTTGGACATCTGGGATCTGTGCTGCCTGGGAAACAGGTGGGTTGGGATGGTGTTGTTAGTTTTGGACATTTTGGATCTGTGGAACCAGGATAACAATTGACTTTAGGAGTTGTAGTAAATGGGCTAGGACAGCGAGGATCTGTTGTTCCAGGAAAACAATTAGGAGACACTGGAGTTGTTGGAGTGATCGTTTTGGGACAACTGGGGTCATTAGATCCTGGGAAACAAGAACCTTTTGTTGTTTGAGTTGATATAGAACATTGAGGATCTGGCGAGCCAGGATAGCAGTTAGTTTGAGAAGGTGTAGTTGGTTTTGGACACCTTGGGTCTGTACTGCTAGGATAACAAGTAGGCTGAGAAGTTGTTGAAGGTCTTGGACATCTTGAATCTGTGCTACCTGGGTAGCAGTTTGGACGAGGAGTAGTTATGGATTGGGGACACCTTGGGTCTGCGCTACCTGGATAGCAGTTCGGACGACCTGTGGTTGTTGGTTGAGGACATCTTGGGTCTATGCTACCAGGATAACAGTTAGGTGGGGAAGGTGTAGTTAGTTTTGGACATCTTGGGTCGGTATTTCCAGGATAACAATTCAGTAGAGAGGGCGTTGTTGATTTTGAACACTTCGGGTCAGTACTACCAGGATAACAAGTAGGACGTGCAGTTGACGACGTTCCAGGACAACGTGGATCTTGGGATCCCGGATAACAATCAGGTTTTTGTTGACATCGAGGATCTGATGAACCAGGGTAACATTGCTGTTGAGGTCTATACGTTGTGCTGATTTCACCTGTAATTCCTTGGCAGTTGGCATCGCAATTATTTGTACATAACTGAAAAAAAGCATTATTTACATTTCATTTCTATTTTCTAAACTTTGGAAAACAAGTTTTTATGTTTTTATTTTAAAATTAACTTCGGAATGAAAAGGTACTGGTAAATCACACAGTTTGATGCAATTTTTTTATATCTGAGGAAAGGATATCATAGATCACCGAATACGGTGTAATACCCACGGTACTCCTGACGAGTTGTTACTCTTAAGGAATACAGTGTTATGCCTGTGTACCTTATAATGTTATTTCCATCACGGTAGTATACCTTCTAAATCGAAATATAGTTATGAGAGCACAGCTACTTCGTAGCATAGAACACAACACAGAAGAGTATCACAGAATACTAGTATTTCTCTCTCCCATGAGGAAAAAAAGAGTGACGATTTAAATAGTTTACTTTAATTTACCTCGACATTACAAGTGAGATACACTTGATCCGTTTCTGGGAATCTGAAAGCACTGACTTTGCTGTAAGCAATCAATGTGGCGCCGCTGTTTCCTGTGTTTGTTGATTTTTGCCAGAGATCAATGAGTTTCTTTTTTCTGTGAAGAAATTTGTTTTATCATCATCAGCATCTTACTATTGCTCTTATCCCAATTATTTATTAGGGTCGACGTAATATGTTTTTTATAGATATTACAAAAAGACTTGGCTTATACTTCTACGATCGGTTGCCTGCCTGACGTCAACCCTCTTTGAAAATGCATTTGTTTTATATCAATTTAAATTTAACACTAGATCAGGCCCGGCTTCGTATTGGTAGAATAGATAGAATGTTCTCAAATAACATATAGTCTATGTAACTTGTAGATAATGTAGCTTTTTATAGGTAAAATAATTTTTAAAATCGGCTGAGTACCTTTTGTGTGCCAAAGAAACAACTGAATTTTGCTCTTTAAAATATTAGTTTAGATATATGATAGATAATTTTTCTATTCAGTTCCAATTGCTAGCAATGCTGGTGCTGGTTGCTGCTGATGATTTTATTTCTTAGAATCACAAATTGGAGTTAATAATCTTTATTGATATATGTATTTTATTTGGAAATTAAAATATATTAATTATTGATAATTTGATAATACATGATAATATATAATTGAATTGTGTCAACATTTTAGTCTTTTTTCTTTTTTTATTATTGAAGGGCCTCGTGATTGTTCACGATCTCAACTATTGGAAATTGATAATGTGGTCTAAGATGGGGCTCGCGGACCCACGATTAGTCAATTTATATTTGACTTAAATTGGTATAGATTATATTTAAATGGAAAAATACATATAACATCATTTATCTCGACTGTGACTTGTAAGTTTATAAAGTTTGATTTAGACTAGCCTTCGAGGCCCGACATTTTTCTTAAATTTCTGTTTGGTGTAAAAATTGTTTTGTTACTCTATTTTATTCACAAAAATTGTGTTATTCTTATGTTTTCGATGATAATGATTATGATATCAGCCGTTGACTGTTCATTGCTGAACATAGCCTTCTTTTTTGAGAGGCTTTGCCAGTAGTTGCAACATTTTGCAGGCGTGTTGGCAACCGCAGTTAGGCTGGTTGCTGGTTGGTAATGTTTTAAGAGGGCTACTCCTCCCTTGACCGAGATGACTAAGGGAAGTTAATGCCTTAGTCGCCTTTTACGAGACCCCCGGGAAAGGAAGGGGTAGTCTATTCTGTACCGGAACCATACGGCTGACTTGCGTTATTAATTTAATAATGTTTTGGTACTTACTTAGGACAACCTTCTTTGTCGGTCAGTTGTATTTTATTTGTTTTAGGGCCATCGTAATTTTCGTTGTCGTACGCCCAGCAGTCATGTATCTTAAGGTTAAACTGGTTCCTGACATCTTTTAGGTACACTAGTATGGTAAGATACTCGCCAATCTTGATCGAATCCTTGAGAGGAGTAGTCTGAAATTTATGTAATGGTTATTTTAATAAAACATCTAAGTACTTAATTTCATGCTAGGTTCCTTAGATTAGGCGTAGGTAGATATCCCACGATTCATTAGCTTTCTAAAATATAAATCTTTAGCTGCATAGCCATGACATGGACAATTGTAAGTTCAACTTTTATTATGAATTTTAGATTTTACGTAAAGGTATAAAATTTTTAAACTCAAATATTTCATCTGCAATATGTTTATAGTAAATTTATTTATTTAAAGTGATTTTTTTAAATATACCTTTTCTATAAATGCTTATTCAAATTAATTCAAATCTGTCAAAAATGACGCCACCTTCATCCATTATCCTTTAAATATTTATCAAAACTTACATTTGGGAAGACTCCTTTTTGTATATCCATCCAGCACTCGACACCACCACCAGGACCCTGCACTGCGACCACATCCAGCATGTCCACCATGAAAGGCTTCAGTTTAAGGGTGTGTGTCTCTTCTTGTTTGCCAACACCTGCTGACACTTCAAGGGATGTGCTGGCACACGATACCTGGATAATCACAACAATTATTTATATAAAAAAATATGGAAATGAATATGTACATAGACTGGGCTCAGTTTAACCAGTTAGTAACCAGATAGTTTCATTGTTTCGCTATTCTTGAAACCTATAGGTAAAGTATTGTTTTATAAAAATATAACACCGGCTGTCTTATCTTACTACTTATAATCAAACTGTAACTAGGCGATGTCGGTACATGAGAAGTGTTCGTATTTAGAAAAAAATATACTATAAGGGGTCTCAATAAGATCATTGTCCGTCTGTCCGTCCGTCTATATCTTTTCTGGTATCACGCAAAAATCACTCCACAAAATTGGATATGATTTTTTTTTATGCAACTTAGAATGGCAAACAAGCTGACGGCCCACCTGATGGAAAGTGGTAACCGTCGCCTATAGACATTAGCAGTACCATGGACATAACAGAGTATACTGTTTCTACGATTATACCCCTCATGCGTTGTCATTCCTGAAGACTATGATATTCACAGTTATATTCCTGAAGAAATAACTTAACAACTGGTGTAGGTTTTATTTCGATACGCTATCTAGAAGCGACAATTTTCATTGATTTTTCTGCTCCTGAAATCCATACGTACAAAGTAATGGGCAAAAAGCTAGTAATAAGAGTAAGTAATAAAAAATAATATATATATCTTGATGACAAGGACACTATTTAGTATGGACTATTATAATTTCCTATTTGTCGTTAAAGGAAATTATGAACGGATGTAAATTTTAAAGCATTATATATTTTTAAATAAGTTATTACAATTTTCGTCACAATTTCACATTGACATACATTTAGTGATTTATTAGTGGAAATTATGTAAATATGATTGCTTATAAAAATTCCTATAATAATTTACTAAATTATGTGTACAAGTATGCTGTGTGGTGATGGAGAAATACATGTAATGCATCATTTCTTTCTATCCATAGAATGTTTTAAGAGGCAAATCTTATTAATTATACATGTCGGAAATAAAATGGAGTGGTGGATTACTATATATATTCTTCATATTTTGTTATTGAATGAAAATATATAAGTAGAATAATAAATAAGTAAAATAATAAACCTAGAATTATGTAGTGCATTTCTTTAACGATTGATTTATTGAATATTTGATTGGACTTTTCTTTATATCGATTGAATAATCAACAATTATTCTAAATGTATTACATAACCCTTTATCATATTTCCCATACGCCACAATGATTAAATAAATAAGCTAAAATTGTAATTATTGAAAACAGCTGTTACCTTTCTAGCGAAGTCCAATGGTCCTTGAACAAAGTCATCGGCTTGGAAAACTAGGATGTTGTCGATGGTGCCGCAAGCATTACAAAGCGGACGGGACCCACATCCATTGAGTGGTACTCTAAACGAGTATTGAGATTCACTACCGCCGAGGGTAACATATCTGAAATTAGAGACAATAATGAATAAATAATAGTTCTGTTTACAGATTATAAGGTGCATAAACCTTGAATATTTTAACGTGAGCTTATCATCATCTACATCATCATCATCTCAGACATTATCCGTTCACTGTTTAACATAGGCCTCCCCTCATAGGCTGTCATAAGGAAAGGCCCCGAGCCACCTGCATCCACTGACTCCCTGCAATGTATTTGAGGTCGTCACTTCATTTAGTGGGGGGTCGTTCTACACTGCGTTTGCCCCTACGGGGTCCCCACTCAAGATTCTTTCTTTCCCATTGGTTATCGGTTCTTCGAAGTATGTGACAAATCCAGTATAGAAATATTATTTTTTTTAGTGAAAACACAATGTTCAAATTTAAATATAAATAAATCGTTGAAAATGTCATGAAAGACGAAATTGTTCAGGTATTTATTGTTACAAATTGTGGAAGTAAGTGTTATTGTAAAAAATAATGTATTTTAATTTATATTGAATGCCAAATATGCTGAGTACCCATTTGTTTGACTGGTTAGTCAGACAAATAAATATTTATAAGTGATGGTTATCACTTATAAATATCATAATGATTATCACAGAACATATTGTGACTTTTACAATAATGAATTGTGATTTTGTCATAGAATAGCAGTGCTTATTCTTATGTAACATGGAATGGCGATAAGACTGCCTTTTGTACCTTTTATATCTAAAATTTGATCTGTACTTTATCTTAGCGTATTTTAATTGTTTTTTATAATTCTCATTGTTTTATGTATAAAGTGTTAAATAAATAAATGGCAAATAAGCTGATGGCACATTTGAGAGACAGTGCTGTTAATAGACAGACAGACATACACAGAACTCTAGATATAAATTGATAATGTCATAATTTAAATTATTCTTAGTAACACTTACTTGCACTTAGGGTCGTTAAGATGTCCTTTGCTGTATATAATACCATCGTAGATATCAGGAAACTCGACAGTGACATCGATGTAATCGGATCCACATTGGACGTTTATTTCTGGGGATAGGGGACTATCTATAGCCCTGGATCCTCTAATAAAGTTGACCCCCGTCTCTTCGGCGCTTGCTTCGTAGAATGGTGAGAGTGCATTGTCACCGGATAATTGGAGATTTAACTCCGCCGCTGTGAGGGTGTTAATAGCATCATCTGAAACAGCTGTAGCGAGCGACAGCTACAGCGAATAAACATATTAAATTATGACCAAAAGTTTAAGGAATAAGATTAATTATTGAATGATAAGCATAGTTTGTTACAGTAGAATTTAATGAAAATATAAACAAATAAATAATTGAATCGCCCTTATACAGTCTGCTAATGCGATAGAGTAACGTAAATAACAAATCGACTAATTTGATTGAATGTTTCATTTTGTTGCTAATTTCAATTAGAACTTGTTTTTGTGATAATAAAAAAAACAGGATTATACTTTCATTAATTTAAGTAAAAAAATTATAAGTAAGATTAAAAAAATAAAATAAAAACAAGAAAAAATATTATTTAAACAAGTCTTATTTTTACAGAGATTAAGTATGTTAGATAGTTGAAATAGCTGTTATGAAGGCATAATCTCTATAGAAGATAGTTATTACTTTGAGAAACAGCCTATTTAATTTTTATTATGACAAAGTGCACTTTGTTTTAATGTATCAGATTTCAGATTTCAGTTTTACGATTTCTTTTATATCAAAACGTTACTGTAAAATGTAGTAAGACAACGTTGTTATCAAATTCGCATTCCCCGAGATCGGGCCAACAAAGTAATTATAATCATATCTATAATTTATTGTTCGCATAAACACAATGTGAATTTTTTCCACTCTCACGTTACGTGCTCAACTAAGTTACAAACTATTGAGTGTTGTGAAAAATGAAACAAACTTTATTGTTCTTTATTAACGTTGGCTAACGTCACGTCGATGTTAATTGTGATTAAACTCTTGATATAGTTGGAATGTGTAAAATTAATGACTTTAAAGGTAAAATATTATAGTTACAAAATATAGATTATGATTGGATATTGGGAAAATAATAATAAGCTAATACTAAATTCTTATATTAATTATGTATGTTTTTTGTTTAGCAATAACTCTCTTCTATAGACACTTCATGATTAGACTTTGTTAGATTATTACAACTTACTTTACGTTACTTAGTTTATTAAATCAGATCTAGTTATAGTGTAAGAATACAAAATTAAAACTATAAATTATTGTGTAATAATTCTTAATAATTATACTTGTAACAAATTTCAGTAATTTTTTTAAGGTAACTAACATTCAATAACAATCAGTTAAATCTCACCCTTTAAATTACCTCATAAATCTTAAAAGTAAGCAAATTTACAATAACTATTGTAATGAATTTATAATAAAGTACAGAATTCTTTTCCTTACGTATTTTTATCTCACTATAGTTATTAGTGTATCTATTGCATCTATGGGTTATGTTCTTTTATTGTATACGTATTATCATGAAAATAAAAGTATATATTCATTCAATAGATAGATGTGGTATTTCAGATAGTTACTTAGATAACATCTAGGTATATTTAAAACTACTTAAAATGAACGAATTGTTTATGGTTAAACAAAGATTATCTATTAGGTAGTTCTTCTATTGGTCCTTATAGTTGCAAGTACACATATTGCAAATTTACGTAAGAGCGGATTCTTTCTATTAGGCAGATTTAATTGCTTAATTTTGTTGTTTTGATCGAATGTGTATAAAAGCAGATAAGTTTGTTACAAAATTATCGATACTCATAGTTCCACCAGTACCTTCAACCTTACTGTGTTTGTTACGTCATGACAGAATGACAATGATAAACTTTTAGAATCATCAATGTTACGCAATTGTACATGCAAGATTATGTGGTTTGCTAGTTTCTTAGATAAGAATAAAAATATGTTTGCTGGCTAGTTGGCCAAGGTCTAGAAAATTAATAACTCTATGTGAGAGGTGGGCACAAAAAAATTACAAATTTTTTAACATTTAGAATCTTCAATATGATTAATTTTCTTAGTTGATTAATTTGATCGGCTTTTGTGACTGTCCCTATTATATGTTATGCAATTGTTTTTAGTAAGTTAATTATATTATAAACATTATAAGTATTTAAACAATAATAATTTTAGTTTAGTTATAAGAAATTTCACTAGGCCAAAATTTATTACTGTAAATTTTGAGAATATAATGAATTTCTATTATATATATAATAGAAGAAAAATGCATAATGAATAAAGCAGTAAGATAGATACAAGTAAGTAAAAAAAAAAATTATAAGTGTACAAGTAGCATACCTGCACGAGTGCAATCAATGTCGCAATGCGCATGACAGCCGCTTCATGGGGCCTGAAACAATAAAAAGAAAAGAATATAATAATAAAATCAATAAAATCATTAGGTTTATGTTTAATCTGCAAGCTGTATTATATTACAACCACATATGTGGAAATTACATAAAAATAAATTACATTCGAGAATGAAATATTTGGAAAAGGAAGGGTATAGTTTGTGTTCTGTCTATAAGGGCACTCGTAAATTTTGCATTGACCATGGCAACATTGAGTTTTAAAATAATCAGCTGTAATAATTGGCGACGATCTTTGTCAACAAAACAAAAAAAAAAGATTAGTTATTTTCATTATATACTTTTAGTACACCTAAATAAAAAATTAGACATAAATTAAATGAAGTCATTATTTTATTAAATTGGTATGGAATTTAATTAATATGTTGTGTATGGAAATGCACATTTAGTATTCCGAGACACAATCTTAATTAAGGCTAATTGAATTTTAGCTGTAAAATAGATGAAATCAAAAATATGCAGTAACATGAAAGTAAATGTTACGTACAAGTAAAATTGTATACATCATATTATAATTATTTATATCGGTTACAAAGTAGCTAGCAAGAACGTAGTAGAAAATTTAATTTGTTTCTTTTTTTTAAACCAAACAATAAAATATAATTGTCAATAATGTCAGGCATTTGATACATAAGACAAATAAGGATATCGATGTGAAATATTGAAAGATTGTCATATTTGAACAGAACTTTCATAACGTTCTATTGACATATTGATTTGGAGGTGATAAAATTTAAGTTCAGCAGCATTTGACATAACACAGACTCTACTAGTAAATGCAAATAGACAAATGGATTGTTGCAAAATATGTTGAAACTACGACTTATCACGACAGCTAGTCCAAAAGTTTACTATATTTTTAATATTCTTTTTTTATACAACTTAGAATAGCAAACAAGCTGACGGCCCACCTGATAGAAAGTAGTAGCCGTCGCCTATAGACATGAGCAGTACCGTGGATATAACAGACTATACTGTTTCGCCCATGATACCCCCCATGCGTTGCCATTCCTGAGGACTCAGGTGTTATTACTCTGTACCCTGTAAATTCACGCCATTTCCCATCCTTCAAACCGAAACACAGCCATGCAAACACAACTGCTTCACGGTAGAAAAACGTATGCGACAGAGGTACCCAAACAATCGACTTTTGTACAAAGTCTCCCTCTGGTATGGTTGATGCATTTTTTATGCAACTTAAAACGGCAACCAAGCTACCGTTCCGCTCTATAGAAAGTGTGAATACTATATCGACATGAACGGCACTGGACATCGGAGAATTTTTTGATGAGCTATTCTCCAAGAATCACAGGAATGGCAACTCATTAGTGATGATTAAGGTATTTTTTTAATAGATGATAATGAAATGGTAACCCCTCCTGCACTAACGGGATACGCTGGCGGGACACCAGTGAGGAATGATAGGTGGGGATGAAAAGGCAGGTCAGTTAACCTATCGTGATTAATACACCTAACATTCAGCACGATGGTTTCCAGATGGAACCATGTGGAGGTCGACCTGACAGGGTATATTGTTAGCAATGGAACTGGTTGTCCGCATTACTAACAATTCCCCCTTCCTCTGATTATGGTATTGTCTCCATACCCAGACATTTTAAATTGAAACGCAAAGGACGTTTATGAAAAGAGGTTTAAAATTAGTAAAATATCGCGTAAGGTCATTATCTTGGGATTTGTACAAAAGTATTCTACTTGGGTACCTCTGTCCCATTCATGTTTCTGCCATGGAATAGCTGTGCATGACTGTGTTACAGAGTACAGAGATACCTAACACCTTAGTCCTCAGGAATGGCAATGCATGGGGCGTATCATGAGCGAAACAGTATACTCTGTTATATCCATGGTACTGTTCATGTCTATAGGCGACCGTGAAACTATATGGTACAGAGGCATAACACCTCAGTCTCAGTAATAAGCGTCTATGGATAAGTTTCTTATGCCACTTACTAGATTGTTATTATATGGCTTCTAATACGGTAAACGTTGTATAAAAAATCTGAAGTAGTTGAGTGTGTCAAGTATGAGTCACGATTATCTTTCAACGCTAAACGCCGGATATCTCGTTCTATCTCATGCATGCGAAAACGTATCTATCTATACTAATATTGTAAAGAGGAAATATTTGAGTTTGGTATGTATAGATTTTGCTTGTAATGGTTAAACTCAAAAACTATCTACCCGTTTTTAAAAATGATAGAAAGCTACATTATCAGTGAGTAAAATAAGTGATTTATTATTTTCATAAAGATTAGAGATCCTTACGAAAATTATTATAATGGTTTTTTTATGCATCTGAGAATGGCAAACAAGCTGACGGTCCATCTGATGGAAAGTGGTAACCGTCGCCTATAGACATGAGTAGTAGCACGGACATAACAGAGAATACTGTTTCACTCATGATTCGCCCCCATGCGTTGCCATTCCTAATATAATAATATAAATCAATATATCAAAAAATTGCCTATTAAAGCTAATTTTATATAATCTTTAATATTAATTTATCTTTCCATCTCACTACCCTTGCAAAATGAGGTAGATGGTTAGTCAAGAGATTTGTTGAGGTTTTATTTATGTTACATTTAAAAATAGAACTTATTTATTTTCTTGTTATGTCAATGAGTATTTTGTTTATTAGAGAACGTCATTTTTAAATATCACTATTATTGTACTAGGGAAAAATATAATATATCTTTATTTAGTATTTTCTATTTTATTGTTCTATCCTAACGAACCCTTCACAAGATTAATTTGAGTTTATTTTGTAGTATCTTGTAGGAAGATGAAGAGATTTGGGTGGTTAAGTTAGCTATTGATTATCAAATATAATCAATTGAGAGGATTTACCGTGGGGAATAGTGTTGAATCTTCGTTTTATAATTTTAAGTTTGTTTAATTATACAAAACTAAGAGTAAAATAAATCAAATGTGCAATATCGATAGGAGGTTACGCATCAGTACACGAGACTTTAATTGAGAGGTCGAGTTGAGATTCGTGAGGTCATGATGAGCCGACTACGGTTCCGTGTTCATTTCGTCATCGTCAATACTTACAATTAAAAGGGATTAATAAACACATTTACACATTATCGTTAATTGATATGAACTACATAACTATTTATTGAGATGTATGAGTTATCTAAACGCTTCCGTTTGTGGTGAGAGGTATGTATGGTGTATAGTTATGAATGAGATGATGTATGAAAGTGGATGTAGTAATCACGTATGACTGTTCCATTCGAATTTGAATAGATGTTTATTATCTGATCTTTAACAATAAAAGAATTAACAAACAAAAATAAAAATACAAGATTTTTTATTTATGAATAATGCGTATAAATAAATGGATATTGGAACAAAATAGTTTTGTTCGATATTTTTAGCCGATATAGTATAAAAAATACTATATAATTATAAATCATTATTACATTCAGCTTTTAAAATGCATAAATGTCATGGCAACGCATTAAAAATTTATGTTATGTTCATGGTAAGAAAAAATCAGGTGGGCGTCATTGTTTGCCATCAAATTATATTAAAATAAATAAATAAATAAATATTTAAAAATTTATGTCAGGCAAGAAAAAAACGATATCAAATTATATTAATAAGTATAAATAAACATTCAAAAAATGACGACGACATTAAATTATATTAATAAGCATAAATATTCATTTCGTCAAATTTTATCATCCAAGTTCAAATTGTTTAAACAAAATTGTTTACAAAGATTATATTTTGATTATATTTATTTCAAGGAATATCTTTATTAATTTTGCATTAATTTTTAAGCAATTTTAAAATCATTATATTGGCATTGATTTCAATCGTTTTTCTTGAGACCGATAAATTTTACCCCCATTTTACGGAATATGTACCTTACTTATTATGTAAACGGTACTCGGCACACGGCAATATAAATATATACTTACAAAATAATAATTGCTAACAAATAACTTTATTGATTCCAATTGAGTAGTAAAATATGTTAATTAATATCATCTTCGTGACTGTTACTTAGGATTTGAATTGATTTGAAACATTATTTGGGATTAATTGCATTTTACGAGATACAAGATTAATTTATAATTTTTTGGTAGAACTCATAGTTATTTCATCATCATATTTTATTACCTGAACTAACACGTTTTTATATTAAACCATAATTTGTTTGTTATAATTTTTAGTTCAATCATACGTCTGATGCCTATCAACATAGTTTTTTATGCAACTTAGAATGGCAAACAAGCTGATGGCCCACCCAATGGAAAGTGGTAACCGTCAACTGTAGACATAAACAGTACAAATATGCAAATATATAAATGTCAAATCAATCATTGTATTTGTGTAATGTGGCTTATATTACGCGATTGTAGTCGTAGGTAAAATAATGATTTGTATAAGCCAAGTATATTTGTAAAAATTGGATCCACCTAAGAAAATGTGTAGTCACGTATTAAACTGTGTTTTTATTTTATATTTTTAAAGATATACTTTGAAAATAGTTGCAATATTATAGTGTAAATTGCTCGCTCCTACTTTAAATTTTCTATAGTATAGTAGAAAGACCCCATAAAATCATGCCATAAATGCGAAATCGCGGTAATGCAAAATAGTGTGTAAACTTTCTGTGGCTACAAGTTTGGTAATACTGCGTGTGGTAAAGCGAAATAGAAACTAGTATGATATGTTCGATTTAAAATCTGAATGTTACCTTTATTGCAATGTGATATTTTGACCTTAAGTCAGACTAATTCAATAAGAGAATAAGATATCATTGGATCCTCAAGTGGAGCAGAATTGTGAATCTTAATTAAAGAGATCTAAAGAGAGAAACATCAAATCAGATATAGAGGAGAGAATAGTAATATTTAAATTCTAATATTTTTTGTGAGATCAGGAAACTTGAGGGCGGGAGTTGAAGCCTTTCTTTGACATTTTCCTCACGTAGTGCTTTTACTAA